TAATATTGTACACTGCTAGAAAGGAAGAGTTGCTTTTGATTTAGACCTTCCTGCTCTGCATATCTACAGGGACACCTGTAGTATGGGAATTGTTAAACAGGTTTATAGCATAGGGACTGGTTAGTTCAAGGGAGGCAGTGCACTTGAGGTTGGCTTATTCAACAGGCTGTAAAACAAGCCACGATTTGGTGCAACGGATGAACCAGAGTCTCCAGGAAACTAACCGCAAATAAACAGAATTCTGGGCGTCGAGGTCCACACAGATTAAAGCATGCTTGCTGGGGAATTCTGGGAGTTGGAGTCCACACATCTTAAAGTGGCTGAGGTTGAGAGACATTGACTCAGATGATGATGTGGTCCTACCTATTGATCAAGGCCACGGATGGGTCACATCATAACTGACCACCGCACCTTTCTTCCTGAAAGACCTTTCCAGTGGAATCCACTTTATCTTGAGGATCTCCAAAGGGACAGCAGCCAGCATACATTTCTTAAATTCTCCCCTCTTTCCTTGCTTTGAGGTTGAAAAACAATGGGCCAGAACTGAATATCCACTCAGGAAAACGACAGATCCGGTTGCTTCACCTCTCCAGGGCTGAAGATTGCAGTAGGCTGTGATGCCACAGGAGACCCAGTAATCAGATGTAGCTGTTGGTTTTATCGGACAGATCCTACACCAACTACTGAGCAGCCTGTTCACATCAGGATCTGGAGTTCTTTTCTCAACCGCTTTCAGAAACAAGAAATTCACGGTTAAAAGAGAGATCCCTTGGTCGAAGAACTTGTTCTCCTTGGAAATGGCTTAGGAGAATTGGGCCAGAGAGGAAGACATTCAACCTTTTGAAAATAATTAGGGTTAGTGCAGAGTGCAGCAGAAGGTAAACAGGGATCCCCAAATTTCACAATAGCAAGTAAAAGGACATCTCAGATGTCTCCTGAGAAAAACAGGCTTCACCTGATAGACTCAACAAAGTTTCACCAGCCTTGTGATTAAAGTTTCTGGCCATGAAGAAGCTTTGGAGAATGTAGGAATCTTCTGCCTGTCTAGCTCAGTGTGGTTTAAAAACTAAATCCAACCAAAGGGTCAGATTCTGCTCCCCATACCCTCAACGGTTTGAATGATGTCGTGGGGGAAAGGGGATGGGGAGAGAAAATCCTCCATACCACAAAATAACCTCTCAAACCTGAAACCCCACCCATACTAACTCCAGTCCTCCCTTGGCAGAGAAGGATATTCTTCTACCAGGTTGGAGGGAGATAGTAAGGATGTCACCTCACCTTCTCCATGAAGGAAGGCATTGCAGAAGGAGGCTGAGAGCTATCCCTTTGGACTTCTCTACAGAGGAAATCTCTCAAAACATCACTGCATTCACGTCTTCCTCTTGGGCTTTTCGCTCAAGCTGGCTGGGGAATTCTGGGAGTTGAAGTCCACTCATCTTAAAGCGGCCAAGTTTGGACAACACTGCTCTATGGAGTGGTGGCTCTGAGAAGAAGGGACCCGCCGGAGGTCCTGCAGGTTGGGTGGGGACACCTGCAGATCACATCCAGCCCAAAGGTTACCTGTCCATTACTCTCTAGAGCAGTGTTTCCCAACCTTGGGAACTTTAAGATGGGTGGACTTCAACTCCCAGAATTAGCCCCTTGTGCAAAAATAATATTAAGTTCTACTACTACTACATTTTTCAACCTTGGGAACTTTAAGATGTGTGGACTTCAACTCCCAGAATTGCCCAGCCAGCCATGAAGTCCACACATCTTAAAGTTCCCAAGATTGAAAAATACTGCTCTAGAGCTACCAGATCTACACCGCAAAACCTCAGATGAACAGTAGATGGAAGCAAAGGGATACAGAATATTCCTTTTGCTGCCAGCAAGTCGTCATGAATATTTTTGAAATCCATTCCTACATTTTTCAGAACTGTACCATCTCTTCCAGGACTTAGGGAGTCAACATCATGTACAAACTTTTCGGAAATGCCAGGGTAGGAACCATCGACTTTCTTCTGGCAAAGTCAGGGCATCACCATTAAGTGATAGCCTCTTCCTGGGTGTGCTCATCAGGTAATTCGTCTTGGAAGGAGAAAACAAACAACCCGCGATTGCCAATGAACAAGTGTTGAGAGCTCATCCAGACTTGCTGGATTGAAAATACCTCAAAAATATAGATACGTATGAGTGTGATTAAAATCAAAACGTTTGTGCCTACTTCCCTTAGCTATTATCTAGCAGTTGAATGGAAGGAACTTCAGCAAGGTCTACTTTGGCTTAAAAAAAGGAAGAAGTAG